GTGATACAGAATTTCAAAAAACGTATACAAAACTTATTTATAATAATGAAAAAACGTATGCAAATTTTTTATAGGGAAGTGGAAATATAGATGTTGAAGAATTTATTAAATTTACGCAAATTCATTTTAATCAAGAATCGAGTAGGATGAAATTTATTCCTTATGATCAATTTCAAATATCAAAATTATCGGAGAAGGAGGATTTAGTAAAGTATATAAAGCTATTTGGAATAAAGGTCCACCTTATTGGAATGAAAATAAAGAAAATTTCGAGTATAGTGATTTTAATATGACAGTTGCTTTAAAGCAGCTTAATAATTCTAAAGATATTAATTCTAAGGATTTAAATGAGGTAAGTTTAAATTAATAGATATTTTATTTAATATTTATTTTATATTAATAAAAATTATTTTATATTTGTAGCTTAGGGTAATTTATTATACTGATCTCAATGAAGGATTCTTTGATTCTTTATTTTATTTAAATAGATATTATGGAATTACTCAAAATCCTGATACAAAAGATTTTGTAATAATCATGAAATATTATAAGATTGATTTAAAACATTATATAAAAGAGAACTTTTATAATCTTGAATGGAATAAAAAATTAAGAATTTTGAAGCAAATAATAAAAGGACTTTATTATATTCATAATCAAGGGATTATTCATCGAGATTTTCATAGTGGAAATATACTCTGTGAAGATGAATATAATGTTGTAATAAGTGATTTGGGACTTAGTATTTTAATTTCATCAATAGATCATGATCATAAACTTTATGGAATTATATCTTATGTTGCTCCAGAGAATTTAAAATATCAAAAATACACTAAAGCTTCAGATGTATATAGCTTTGGTATGATTATGTGGGAACTAATGACGGGTAGAAGACCTTTTTGGGATCAGGCTAATCCAACAGAACTTATTATTCAAATTCTGGATGGTGTTCGTCCCCCAATTGTTACAAATGCACCCGTAGATTACATTGAAATGTTGGGATTCTGATCCAAATAGAAGGCCAACAGCTTATAATATTTTTATACTTATTGATAAAATGATTTTAAATGAAGAAAAAGTTCAAACTAAAATTATAATATCACCAAATATTGGACCTATAACGATAAATAATTCAGTCAGTAATATATGTTCTAGCGAGGGAATAAAAAATTTTACTGGTAAGTAGCAGCGTCATTTTAAATAATTGAATAACGGTAATCCATTAATTTTTTATTATTTAGGGGAAAATATTAAATATGATTATAAAGAATCTATCAATTATGGTAAGTATAAGCAGTAGAGTGATCAATAATTTTTACAATCAATCCACAAATTAATTATTTTGAACGTAGGTTGTTTTTCCAAAGCCGTAGATTATGATATTTAATAATCGGTATATGCAAGCACAGCTTGCTTTTTTGATTTCACTTCGAGTTCAACGATCCATATTTAGAAGTTTGCAATTATTCTAAATTTTTTTTTTCGTTTGTCAGCACGAGATCTTTTATTAAAAGTCATTTTTTTTTTACAACGATTCGCTTAGAAATTGTGTTAGACCTTCCCTGGCCAAAACGTCGCCTAGACAAATTGTCCACATGCCAGAATTGTCCTTTGTACAAATTGCACTTTACAAAATTTAATATATTTACGATGGGTTTTAATTTGGGGAATTATATAGATCGTTCACATCGGTCTTTTATTTTTTTATCTCACAATATATTTTACAGTATATCCCTTTCTGATAATTTTTTTATGTTAATTTATTAGCATTAATATTTTGTATCAATTGATTTAATAAACGGAATTTTCGGCAGAGGTTGAGGCAACTCTGATTTTATTAAATAATTTTTACACCATAATTCCTAGAATTAAAACAACTGCTTACCTTTTCCTTTGTTTATAAATACAAACGTAAAGAACTGAATTCAAAAGTTGGCACGATGCAAAAAAAAAAATTTAATGGAAAAACCAGATTAAAAAAAATATGTAGTTTTTTTTTCTTAACTTATATGGCTAATATTTTTGAATTTCATTATAGGTATCCGAGTCTAACGAAAATCTCGAAGAAATTCATCAAAGCTTGCAAAAAAAAAAAAGCTCCTATGTTTCATATGGTTTTTTTTTATTATTTACCGTTATCAATTAGACATGTCACTATTAGCGAATTGCAAAAGTCAAAATTATATGTTGACGGATTTGTTAATTTGACGGGATTTATTATAGTTTTGTGATTAGACGTTTTTACTAATAATAAATTTTTTCCGGAAAGGAAATTCATGTCAATTTTTTCATTTTCATATCATCAACATAGAAAATAGAAATCAATTCTAGGTGAATATTTCGTAATATAATTTTATTCGTATGGAATCGATTTCGATATTTTGATCGATTTGAGAATCGATTTAATCTCGGTTATTTTTTTCTCAAGATTCGACTCTAAGTTTCAATTTTCGGTTTTCGATTAATCGAGTACGATCGATCCATTGAGTTAGGAGCTTGAAGAACGAGCACCTTAAATAAATAAAATTTAAAAAATAGGGGATTATACTGTATATATGCAAATTAAAAAATACTGTATTAAAAAAAATTTTAAATATTAAAACCCCGATTATAAAAAAAAAAATTTTAAAATCGCGGGTATTTATAATTAAATTAAATTTAAAAAAAAAGTTCAAAATAAAATAATTAATTAAAAAAATTGCGAATATTAAAATTAATTAAAATAAAAAAAAAAGATCACGGAGGGTAAAATTAAAAATATTAATAGAATTAAAAAAAATAATTATATCGCGGTAAAAAAAATCAAATTAAACCCGCGTTTATAAAAAAAAATAATTAAAAAAAATTCGCGATTTTGAACCGATTTAAGTCTAGTCCTAAGAAAGATTTACTTAACTTCTTTTTAATACGATTTTTTGTGTAGTTGGTTTTTTAGTCAAATCTATATGGAGACACGATAAAGGTTGAAAGTGTGAAGGGGGAATTTATTATTACAAGATTTCGGACGTTTTTTCTCTAAAATAAATTATAATTATTTTAACATATATAATATCTTTGACATTTTCATTTTTTTTTTCGCAGTTACTGCGCCATTCATAAATGCCGATTTCTTGTAGCTGATATAAAAAAATAAATTTTTTTTTTAAAAAAAAAAAAAGAAATTAACAGAAAATTATAAAAAAATACATAATTAAGAAAACCGAAAGTAAATCAAATAAATTTCATCTTTTTTTAAAAAAAAAATAATTAAATAAAAAAATTTTAAAAAAAAATAATAATTAAAAAAAAAAAATTAAAAGTTAGCGTTAAGATTAGGATTATCATTAGGGATGTTAAGCGGTCCTAAGCGGTCCTAAAAATCCCAAGACAATTACAAAGAATTATTTTTACAAATTTATATATGAAACTTGTCTATTATAATGTTTTAATTAGCTACTTAATGAAAGTAAATAATAAACCCTCCCGGAATCCCAGAATTTCTTAAAATTTAAATTTTGGGATTTAGGACCGGTCCTATACTTAGCGGTCTCATCAAAATTGCCAATTTAGAATATCATTTTCGCTTTTTACAAATTAATTATAAAATTTTTATGACATTTTTTTGATGGGGATTACTTATTATAGATAGGTGATTAGAATTCTCTAGAGTTAGTAATTCTTAAAGCGTAAGGACTGGTTAAGGACCGCTTAACATCCCTAGTTAAGTATAAAAAAAAATCAATAAATTTATTATGAATTTTAAATTTTTTTTGTTATAGTTATGCTAAACTTTAAAAATTAAGTTTTTCAACATCTATTTCACGTCGTGTTAGCGAAACCTCGGGCATCGCCTGGTTAAAATCGCTAGTTTAATGATAATAATTTATCGCGAAATCAAATTTTTTTTTAATAATACTTTACAATTTATGGTTAGTATTTATAATAATTTGTTTATTTAAATTTTTGGACATGAATATTGTCAAAATATTTTAAATTCTTTCATATATTTTTGTAACTAAACAACTAATTCAACTTCCACTTCATATAGTTAGAAAATTTTAATAATTATAATGTGCCACTGAGCATTACATTTTACGTCTAAAATAGATTCGATTTTTTATATGATTTCGATTCGATTTTCGATTAATTCGATTTCATTAGAATCGATTCCAATCCCTAGCTGCACGAAGACGTTCAGTGAAAAAGAAAAAACCTGCATTTGTGATAGGGACTGCTACCATTAGTTGATATATCAGAAAGAACCATGAGAAATTTGGAGCTCCTTATGGTATGGTATGGCTGATGATCATGAAATGTATAATTTAGGTATATATCAAATTTCATCCTCGTCACAAATTTAAAGTCTTGAAGATCGTTGTCTGTAATTATATATGAACATTTAGATAATGAAAATAAAGAAGCATTATTAAAATTATTCTTGGTATGCGCGTATTTTTAAAATTCTTGTATTGATAATTTACTAACTTGTTATTAATATTATTTTAAAATAATTACAAATCAAATATAATAATATAAACAAAAAAAATTTTAATAAAATTTTTTTTAAAAGCGTTTCATTTATGTTACGCAAATTATTTTTAATATGATAAGTGTGTCAATCAATGTGATGGGATATACCGGATACATGTGATACATTAATTTTAAAATGAATTTATTTTATCTATCAATTCAAAAAAAAAAATCCGAATCCAGTTCGATCATTTAATCATTAAGAAAGATGGAAATATAATTTGCGAACTTTTATAAAAAAAGGTATAATTTCAAAAAAAAAAAAAAAAAAAAAAATCATAAACGCCATGAATAATTTTATTTTTGCAACCATTATATTGGCCATGATTTCAATGGTAAATGCTAAAAATGCATATATGCCGTGCGTTACTATATACCCTTCTAATACACTATCCCTTGTAACACTTTCACCTGATCCTGTCGCTGGAAAACCTTATGATTATACTATTTACACAGTTCTAGATAAAGATGTCACAAGTGGTGACTTATTAGAAGTCGATATTGTTGATGATAAATCAAATCCTTTATCTGATCCTTTTACTATGGATATTTGTTCTAGTACTGGAATTAAGTGTCCAATTAAAGCTTTAACCTTAATTAAACTTTCAACGAAAGTTCCAATACCAGCCACTTTACCTACTGCATACCATTTGATAGTTACTATTACTGATCCTAATAATAAAACCAATCCTTTAGCCTGTGCATATTCTTATCCGAGTAAATAAATCATTTTTTTTTGTTAAACATTTACTTTTTAATTATTATAAATAGTCATTTTTCATTGAATTAATAATAAATACACTATATTTAATATGTATTGGGGATAATAACATCCCTTATTTAAAGGAATATGTGTTAAAAAACTTTTCTGAAATTCCTGTTGCATCTCTATCTATAATATAATACTTATATATTCTTAAGTACCTTGAATATTAATCGAAACACAAATAATTTTTTACCGAATTGTAATGTGAAATTTTAATAGCAAAGAACCAATCAATTATTATATCAATTTGATGTTTAATGAGACTTTTTTTTTTGATACATTAACAGCTTCTTATTATCTGTTGCGCTATATATCAAAATAACAAACTTGTAAATTATTATTTTAGCTTAAATTTCTTTTGCATTTGTATAGCAGTGGAAATTTAAAGTCTTCGTTGCTGGAAGCCGAGTCATTCAGGATTTATACATTACAAAATTTTTTTCTTTTGACTATATATACAGTGGTACCGGAAATTATTTGTGACAAGATCAACCACTAAAATAAAATAAATCTAAAAAGTAAATGATCAACTTTGTTCGTCTTAACAATAATAAAATTTTCCCATAAACTCTTGGCAGTTTTCTTAGAAATAATTCCGTAAA